TAGAAAATCATGTGTAAAAGATCGTGAGTGCAGTGCCGTTGAACCGAAGTGGAACGAGGGTATTGCATGTAGCCGGCATCGCTCCATCAAGATCACAGTATAACTGAACAGTTAAAAGCAACCGATAAAAAAATTATGGTATTTATATCACTTCCATTCCAGCGCACACATCTCATGAACATTTAAAGCCCTTATTTTTAAAGGAATACAGATTGGTCTAAGTCATGTATAGCCATAACCTACTTATATAGCTGGCCTTAGCAATTACTTGGTGAACTAGATCCTTTAACAGATCCGTTATCTACTGTTATTGTTAACTGGATAACCAAAGTATGCTTTCACAATGTTTTTTTTTTCCACAGGAGAAGGGCAGGCACTACGGGACTATTCGTTTGGTAGTGTGGAGACTCACGTATTAATAGCAAACCTTCTTAACGTACCTTAGAAAATGAAGCAGAGAGAAGATCTTGGAAGCGTCGTGTAAGATTTCCTATCGGCTAGGATATCCATGAACAGCCTTCCTGTCCTAGAGGGAAGACCATGCTTGCGTCTTATCGGTCACATCAACATTCGTTATTGAATATAAAACTAGTTTGCTTCCAACATGCATGAGTACGATAACACAATGTTAATATAATGCTACGGCGTATTGTAGGGTGTTGACATCGAAAGCAACAGACACTTCTCTCCGCTCAGGATAGAGGTACGGACTTGTCTAAAGCTGTGTCAATCTTGTGTAAAGCTTGTCAATCGCTCTTCGCTGCTCGGTGGAGGTCGTTAGGGGATTATAAACAAACCGGTATAACTCGAATTTAGCTGAATCTTAAATTTAGGGGATAAAAATCGGGGAGAAATATTTGCTTGAGCGACATGTGGAGGGGTTCATAGCAGTTGTCCAAGCGTTAACTTCAGTCACCTGCGTTTTAGGCAATATATTGTATAAGAATCCGATACGAAGCGTACACATATGTACCGTAGTAGCACACCTTAAGTGAATATAATTACATGAAAAGGTCAATACATTAACTTGCTTTCGTTTAATATGCAGATAGCAGATATGTTATTCCCTGGCTCGCAGAAGCTTCAAGTTGCGAGTACGCTTTGCCCCCGTTATTTTGTCGTCCTTAGTCCTAAACGGACTTTCACATTCGTTAGTAATGATTTTAAAATGCTGAGGTTTAGCTGTATAGGAGAAATGTATACTTTAGTATTCGTTGAAGCAGTTTAGTAGTCCAGTCGAATATAACGCAGTCAGATTCGAAGCTTTTCTCTCATTGGCAATAAACGTTTTGGAGGGAAATAAGCAATAACACTAGCATCGTGTCGTTTTAATTCCTTTAAGAATACTGAAACACACTATGTACGAGCTACTATTAGTCATAGATGATTCATTTTGCCATGGACCCCGACGCGATCCGTCGCGTCCAGATCTTCTCGAGGAGAAGGACCGAGTCTTTTATTATTTTCATTTTCTAACATAATTTGACTTATTTGTTGTCAATTGACGATGCTCGCGCTGTTATGTTGATTGACAGAGTTGTTAGAGCTAGTACCACTGGTGTATTATTCTCGCCATTGCCCCCACCATCCCCAAGACTGTGGGAAAGCATCTTCTAGCTACTTCATATAGATCTAGATGAATGGCACAGTTGTCTCAAAGTCGATGTGGCAACTCTGCTGCTATGATATTCTACACGGACCCAACAGGCTTACCAATTCAGTTGTTCTGCTTCGAGGCGGTACGATCTAGGCCCGATCGTCGTTCGCGATGGCTTCCTCAACAAGCCTGATAGGCACAGCCCAAACTGTAGTTTTGCTGACGATCGCAGCGCATTCAGTCGCCGCTATGTATCCACCTCGTGGAGAGGCTACATGGATCAATTGTACGTCGCGAACAGGATGTAACTGCCAGAGATCAGCGGACTGTTACGACAATGGACCCGGTGTTTGTATGCGACTGATGCTTGGCGGGCATATGTGCCGTTATTGTCCACTAGGGACCAGTTTACTATATCATCTACCTGATATTGCCCTACCGGAAGGTATTCCTTTCTCAAAAGTGTGCCAGACAATGAAAATCTGTGACAAGACACGATGCTTCGGTGATCGTATTCAATGCCGCAACATAATGCCCAGTATGAGCACAAGACCAGAGAGCCAGTGCGTCTGCGAGAGGGGTTATAAACCCGAACGGCTCGCACTCGGCGTTGAACGGTGCGTTGACGTCGACGAATGCGCTTTTCTAAACCGCTCAGGGTTATTTCGTGGCCCGTCAGGCTTCGGAAACATGCTTCCACCTTCACATCAGGGATCGCAGCTGCATGAGTATTGCCCCCCGAACTCGCGCTGCGAGAACACCGAAGGTAGTTTTCAATGTATCTGCGACGAAGGTTACCGCGATCGGTACGAAAAGATGACCAATATCTTAAACTGTGACGATATCAATGAATGTGAACAATTCGGATTCGGGGCTTGCTCGTGGTATTTGGCCTGTGTCAATGAGCCGGGCACGTATCGGTGTGACAACCTACTGCACGAGTGGATGTCTAATGAAATTTTTCTATTGATTGGGGTAGCGATCGTTCTATTCGTTCTAAACATCCTTCTGTGCTGGATGTGCAGCGTGAGTCGTCGATGTCTGGGGTGTCAGAATGAGCTGCCTGTGAGAAAGCGCCAGAAGCAGCTCGACAAATATTCTGTTTCCAGACTGTAGAGTTTTTTTTTATCTTATTTTTGTTCCTGTATCCTTTCTTTCTTGTATTGTCAACTTCGTGAGTATTGTCGCAGCACACGTGGGCAATTACATTTCAATAGTATCAAAGCACTTGACTTTTGATGACAATAAATTGGGTACGTTGTGATAAGTGAATCGATTTGACGAACCTAGTTTTTTTTTAACGTAAAAACTCAATCGCTTATTTTGGCCTTGCACAATATCGTTCTATATGATGAAGTTTAACACGATTTTATATAGTAATATTGGTAAACAAAGACAATTTAGCCCTACATGTACAGCTTGTACAAAATTAGTACCTCCAACTAATAAATCGAATGTTTGATAATATAGTTCAATGCATTGGCAATGGTCTTTGTGAACGTTATCCTTATGAATGTAGCAGAGTTGTCTATGAGGTTTTTTCTTTTTTCTTTCCAATGGATACTCTTTGTCAGTGTGTTGAGCAGCTTACGTTGTAGTTACTAATAATGGTAAAATCAATGATAATGATTATGACTAACTTTTTCATTTTGATGTTCCTCTCTTTGTGCTGTTTTAGATTGGTAAATACCTTTTCGTATTTTTTTTTCGATTTTACGAGCTAAAAGCGTCTTGCTACTACAACTATCGTACTGCCTTTAGCTTATATTTGCTGGTGCCGTTTACATGCTTATAGCAAGAATTATGCCACGGTTGGGCGACGTGTCCTTTTCCGCAATAGCGTGTTAAATTGACAACTGATACATCCTGCCATTGTGACTGCGTTGCGACAATTGTCGTCAAACGAGTTCCTGTGGAAAATAATTTGGCCTGCATGGCGAAGACGGATCCTTCCCTATTTTCGTTTTTGCATTTTTTTTACATTTAATCTGCAACATTTAATCTGGTCTTTATCAATTGGCATCATAACGTGACGTCAATTGAGGAAACTACACAGATCAGTGATCATCTACGAACTCGATACGTCTCAAATCCTATAGGAGAGAGCTCGTAACGAGAAGTCAGCGTACGTTGACTTCGAAATATAGTCAATGGCTGCCATTGAGTTGATACTACTACGTTGAACATTGCATAGTGCTGTTTTAGCAGACGCTAATATCGCTATAGTAGAAAGAAAAGTGCACGTAATAGAATCATCGATCTAAAACGATACTGGCTGCCTGATCTACGAACTGATCTAAGTGGCCTCCGTTTGAAGGCGGAACCATCGAGAACCGACCGGCTGCCATGATGTCCCGCTTCGTGACTCCTATAGGTACGACCTAGATGCTGGTCTCGTTCACTTGAGGACACGCCAATATTTGTTGCGCTGTGACGATGTCGACGCGTGTCAAAAACTGCAGTTTGGAACTTATTCACGGTATCTGGCATACGTTAACGTACCAGGCACATAGCGATGCGCTGTCTTAATGTTTACTGACGGAATAATGACTGTATTGTATCGGATACTAAAAGCAACATGAAACAGGTGGCCAGAAATTTCTGTATACGTCTATAAGTTTATTATTATCGTTTAGCGGTACAATCATGTCGAACACCAATGACAACAGGATATGTACCGTTCGCTTATTCTGTTGACAGTAAACTAAAAATAAATCGTTTCACTGCCGTTAAGCATTCCACTAAACTCATTCCGGCACGAAACAAAATGTGCCCACACCCGGATTCGAACTCAGACCATCAAATGTTTCCCAAATTCAGTGCTGATCGTGGCGGCATAGTTCTCTCTAAACTAGATTCACTATGATAGGAAACTGTTCTCACCAGCTCTTCCTTATTTCGCCTGTACTATATGTATATATTGGTGGGCCTAGTTAGGCCAGTCGGAAACACTTCCTAAGCCATTTAAGGCTAAACAGTAAAGTGTCCTTATGCATTTTTAATAGCTTTTTTTTTACACGACTACTACGCAATACAAAACCATATGCAAGGTCCAAATCATAGAACAGTTTAGCAACGAAAAAGTATGCACCTGCTGGATGCTGACCTATTTTCAAAAAACAACAGGTTGAACATTCCGTAAAAGCTGTTTTATTTGAAAAAAAAAAAAAAAAAA